CCTGGAGCTCTGATTCGCGGCCATGGAAGATTTGTGGGCAGGGTGGAAGTAGACCAAAAGATCCTGAGCTGTTCAAGACTTTTAGTAAGATTGATGGTGTTTGCAGGTTTGGCTCACCTATTATTCTTCAAACTTGGAAGAGTTCCTGCCATCTAACAACCATGAGCTATAAATTTCATTGGTCATACTTTCCTACTCACTGAGGAACGGTCAGATGAAGAGTCTTTCTCCAAAAGGGCAACAAGCTCTTCATGTTGTTCCTTGGCAGCATTTGTCATTTGCCCCTTTTGAGACAAGGTTGAACCTGTAACTTGAGCCTGCAAATGATTTGAATGTGCACTGAAACACATTTCATCTGATATACCTTGAACAACTTGACCATCTGGCTGAGCTCTTGCTTGCATGTTTCCAATCTTTCTCCAGCCTCAGGCTGTCTGAAAAGTCCCTTTATTTTTCCTAGAGTGCCTTTTTGTTTCCCATTCAGAACCGTGAACACCTTTTCAAGTGCCCTGGCATAAAATATAAAATAAATACAATGTCATCATCAAATGGGGCTCACTCGGTGAATTTTGCAATGTCATACAGGATTGCTGTTGGAAGGACACCCCTGATTTCGGAAGTTGAATCAAGCTGGACAATGATGCACAGGATTTCATGAATGTGCTCCATAATCTCAATGTATTCTTCCTTGCTCGATTTGATGGTCTATTTTTTTTTGGGGGGGGGGCTAAATATTGTGTCAATGGCCAGAAGGATCGGCTTACCTGAACCGACTTTATAATTGACAAGCACAAGGCAGCAGCTGAGCCAAGGAAAGGCACTTTGGCTGTTTCTGCAATGTTTTGTGCAGTAGTTGCGGCCAGGGTGATATATTCGATAAGATTCTTGAAATTCCCTGCGGTAGGCATGGTGGGCATTGATGATGGGAGGTGTGTTCTTCGGCTGGGCTTATATATCATTTGCTGTGTTCTTCCCACAGATACTTCCACATATATTCCCAGCATCACATCATACATGCAGATATAGGTATCTGTTGATGTTCCACACCGAAATAAACTGTATGTTTCAAATCAAATGTCATGAACAAAAGTGAAAACACTTCTTGAATCCTGGTGAACAGCCATTCCATCATTATAAACATTCATTTCACCCCAAATTTAAGAATCCAGCTGACAAGGGAGCAATGGTCAATGTGTGGCAATCCACAGATGCTCCACGGCACCTGCAGGCTTAGCTTCTTGCGGGAGATGGAATCACGGCAGAAGGATCCCATCTCACCTCAGTGCGCCAACTACAGCAACCCGCAGCAGAGCACTGCCAAGACCCGGAATAGAACAGAGATTCTCCGGCGCTCCGAAAATCGATCTGTAACGGTGTAATGATCTTTGCGGCCCGACCCGCCCTCACTGCATTGCCCAATGATTGTTCCTGTAACTACGGTGATTAGGAACCGCAATTTTAGAACTTTGCCTAAATTTGATTTATTCTTGGTTGGCAGCTCTGACTTCACCCACAAGTTCAGAATGTAGCAATGGAAATAAAATTTGGTCTCACCAGCATGGCTATTCGAGTGTGGGACGGGATCAGCAGTAAGACCCAGATTTGATAGGTCTTATATATCTCCTAGTGCTGTGCACTGATACACATTTCGTCCGTTAATCAAGGAGCGCCTGCCATGAGTTCCGATATCTATCACGCGGCCCAGGCAAGCCAAACATTTGGTTGGCCCAAAATGAGGTACAAATTTATTAGTTTATTTTTTCGGTTAAATTAGTAGTTTCTGTTACATTTCCGGCTCGCCAGTGATCTGTCGAGAATAAGAGCACCTTTCACCGTGACAATGGCCATGTCTATTTAAACTACAGATTTAATAAACAGTTAGATAGCCTGAAGGTGCGTGTTTCAACCATCCACTCAGGCCATCCCAATACTGCTCACAAGGGAGACGGAGAGAGAAGACTTGAAGAGACTGAGGCGCGGGTCCGAAGCAAGGTGACAAAATATAAGCCGCAAGGATGTAAGGAAGTCGTAGGCGCATCGGTCGAAACGGCTAGCCAGCCAGCCGTGTAATGTGTTAAAGTTTATACGGGATCTTGATCTTTGAAGACAATCGTCCAAGCCTATCCAAAGGTCGAGGCATGAAGACACTCTATGATCGAAGAAAAGAGTGTTTGGACGTATAACCGGCATCTCCTCAGTTATCACCTATCAGCACCGCATGCAGGTCGGCGAAACTATAGATATACATCGTAACAGCCAGTCGTTCTTCATCCTCTCGTGCGTGTAAGTGGGTGGGTAGGCAATTAATTAGCATAGCAAAGCGATCAAGTGTATATGTATGAGGAGGAGAGGGAAGTGTGAGTAAGACGAGGAGAGAAAGTGATGCAGGGAAGGGAGGAGAGCGAGATGTAAATGAGGAGGATGTAAAGGAGAGAGAAAAGAATAGAGGAAACTGGCGCTCTACACAAGTCATATACGCATCTATCAACGACATCACACCGTCGCACCCGCCTTACACCGCTGCCACTCGCAGAAGCGCAGGAGCAAGGCAGCAGGAGACACCGCCTCACGTAACGTATGCAAATGTATCCTTGGACCCGTCCACGCGCTCGATGTACTCCTTCTCCAGCAGCGTCTCTCTCGCCTGCGGGATGCGTCGACAGCTTCATTCGTAGCAGCAAAATAGGGAACGTTAACGGAGAAGAGAAGGGGATGGGGGGGCGAGGGAGAAAGAGAAAGGGCGGGCATAAGGCAAACGCGGAAAAACCAGACGCAGGAGGCGCGTCGCGTCCAAATCGTCCGCATCGGCGCCCAGGGCACCTGGCGAGCGCGCCCAAGTCGATGCGCAGAGCCCATCCACATCGACGCGCAAGGCACGTCCGTACCCAGCTCATGGGGCAAAAAGCGAAGCGGGGACACTCCGAGAAGCCCACCCAACGAAAAACACGCGGTCTGGCGTACGTCCACGTCGACAGCATCACCTACGCGCACATCGACAGCGTCGACTACGCCCACGTGCTGACGTCAAGTACATCCACGGCCGCCGCGCGGTACGCCTCGCTGACCTACTCGCGGCACAGAATGCACGCTTAGCGGAGCCGCCCACGACTACCGGCATACGTGCACGTCGACAATGTCGCCTATGCGCAAGTCGATCATGACTCGCGCCGGAGAACGGACGAGCGCGCTTGCCTGACGGAGCCGCCTGCAACTACCGGCTGGGGCACAGAGGCGCACTGCGGCTAGAGCTCGACGGCGCATAAGCTACCGGCTAGGGCTCCAAGGCGCAGAACGTAGCCCGCGCAGCACACCGTAACGTCTGCGCTGAGGACGTTGCCAAAGTCTGCGTGGACGATGTTGCCTACGGGTTGGGCCAGCCGCTATGACGCGCACGGCGGGAGCCGCCGCGCCGCGCAGGGAAGCCACCGAAAACGTGGGTGGTGCGGCGCAGGGCCCATCGCACGGAGGGCCTGCCTGCCACCCCAATGGCTCCGCGGAACGGCGCGCTTGTCTCGTCGACGAACGCGGCGAATACCCGCGGCGCACGAAACGCGCCGGCCCCCGTGACACAAAGCGACGTGGAGAAGCCGCGAGCAGGCCCATCCGATATGGCGCACATACACGAGCCCAGTTCATATAACACGCAGCCACTCCGAGTGCGCAACACGACGCCGACGTGAAAGCGCAAGCGCGGCCCACAAAGCCCACATCCCATCCCCACCCCCAAAAGAAAACCCCTAACAGCGTCCATGGAAAAGAAGAAACACAGCTTCTTAATACCCGGAATCTTCGGCACGAAGCGCTGCGAGATCTGCGCGATCACCTCCTGGATGAGCGCCTGGTTCTTCATCGTCTTGCGCGCTTTCGGTATTCTACGGGGGTGATAGCGTTAGTGGGGTGGTGGGAGGGAGAAGGAGAAAGGGGAGAGGGGATATAGGGAGGGAGCGAGGACCGGGTGGGATGTAAGGAGCGTGGGACAGGGAGGGAGGGGAGGGAGGGGAAGGATATAAGGAGGGGTGTGCGGGGTGGGGAGACGACGGGGAACGCATCGACGATGTCCCTGCCCTTGCCCTTCGTGTCGAGCGGCGGCGTCGCGTCGTCGTCCGTGTCCACGCGTGCGCCGCCCCGCCCGGCAAACGCCGCGCGGTAGTGTCGCGGCAGCACGGGATCCCGGCGGGAGCGAGCGAACGGCAGCAGGCGTCGGCTGAAGGCGCCCTTCTTGGCGCGGCCGCGGCCCCGGAGCGGCGGGATCGGGGGGACGGCAGAGGTGCGGGCGGCGGGGTCGGCGGTCGGCAAAAGGGCGATGCCGGCGCGGCGATGTGGGAGGATGTAGAGTGCGTAGACGAGCGCACAGAGGGCGAGCAGGAGAAGCAGGACCAGCCAGAGCAGCCAGAGGGACGGGTGCGGCATAGGTATCTATTATTTTGCTGGTGGAGGGTCAGTAAGAGTGGGATGAAGATAGTGGGGGCAGCAGTTACCAAGAGGGGAGGACATGGGCGGGGGAGCAGAAGGGCGAGCGAGCAGCGTGCTATACCTCCTACCGCGAGGACGCCACGACCTCACACAAGAGGGCCGAAACATGTGCAAATACTACCGGCCCGGCTTGCTCTCGACTCTCATGTTCCCTGGTTTCAAATGAAGGCAAGTAACTCGGGTGTGGTGCAGGGTGCACATCAGCTACAATTCAATCCGCGCCATATGTGTAATGCTGAAGATCGGGGTTCGACTCCTCGCATCCGAATAGTAATACCCGGTGCATCATTCTTTTTGCCACACTCATGTTGAAATACTGCATTTACCTAGCTAGCTTCAGAAGGTATTGAATAATTCAGATGTGGTTCATGGTGCACCTCAACTCTTTATCTTGCTCTTTCAATGCAGTAGCTGAAGACCGGGATCGACTCCCCGCATCTTGACTAGCTATAGTGGACATATTGCAATGGGCTTTTTTCAGCTGCGTCCTTGCTCACATTACCCCGCTCCAAATAATATAGGACAACTCGGATGTGGTGCACGGTGCACGTCAGCTCCTGTTAATTCTTTGATAATAATTGTGTTACAGGCTGAAGACCGGGGTTCGACTCCCCGCTTCCGAATAAGTCACGGTCGAGATATATATTTTTCTTTTTGGTCCATGCCAAAATAATGCCCACTTCCCCAGCTCCAGAAGGTAGAAAAGAACTCGGATGTAGTGCACAGCGCACATCAGCTCTTACGCTGCGGGCTGAACATTGGGGTTCGACTCCCCGCATCCAAATATATTTTCCTTCCTTGCTTTTTGTCGATGTTGAAATACTACCACATTCACCCAACTCCAAATGAAGCATATTAACTCGGATGTGGTGCACGGTGCACATCAGCTACCACTGATCTGGAGGTTCCGTAAGCTGAAGAACGGGGTTCGACTCCCTGCGTCCGAATAAGACGCGAGCCCCGTATTTTTTTTGTCCTCTCTGCTGAATTCGCCAAAATGCTGCTACTTACCCAGGTTTCAATGATAGAAAATATCTCAGATGTGGTGTAGGGTACACACCAGCTCCTTGTTAGCTGTGTGTAAGTAAGCTTAGAGCTGAAAGTCGGGGTTCGACTCCCCGCATCTGAATAACCCGGTTGAGACGTCTTTTGCCATTTTTTGGGGTCATGTCCATGCTAACATACGGCATTTACCCAGGTTCAGAAGGTATTGAATATTTCGGGTGTGGTGTACGGCATACCTCAGCTCCAGGTCATCTTGATTCATTATCATGCTGAAAACGGGGTTCGACTCCCCGCATCCGAATGTATGTATCTGCCTTGCGTTTTTTTTTTCGTCCATATTGAAATACTGCTACTTCCCTAGCTTCAGATGAGGGCTATTAACTCGGATGTAGTGTATGGTGCACGTCAGCTCTCTGTGAACGCATCTTGAAGTGATGCTGAAGACCGGGGTTCGACTCCCCGCATCCGAATGAAGCCTTTCCATGCTTTTCCGTTTTTGTTGAAATGAGCACTTGCCCAACTCCAAATGAAGGGGAATACCTCGGATGTGGTGTAGGGTGCACACTAGCTCCTTGTGGTTGTCTTTGTCAGTAAGCTTAGAGCTGAAAGCCGGGTTCGACTCTCCGCATCTGAATGCGTGGTACCTTTTTTTAGGGAATGCCCATGTTACGTATTTGACCGAGTTGCAGGCTTAAATGAAGACCGGGGTTCGACTCCCCGCATCCGAATGAGCGGGCATTTTCTTTTTGGTGCTAAAATGCTGCTACATACCCAGTCTCAGAAGGTAGAGAAGAACTCGGATGTGTATGGTGCACATCAGCCCCTTGTGATGGTTCCTTCTGTCAAGCGGATACTGAAGACGGACCGCGCCGGTAATACTACCTACCTATCTACCGGGGTTCGACTCCCCGTGTCCGAATAACCAGTCAAGTAATTTTTCTTTTCAAAAGCATGCCCATGCTAAAATAATGCAGCTTCAGATGAAGAGAAGTAAGTCGGATGTGGTGCACGGTATAGCTGAAACTGAAGCCGGGGTTTGAACATTTGACTCCCCGCATCCCGGGAATGCGTGGTTTCCACATTCACTTCTTTTTGGTGCTAACAGACTGCTGCTTACCCAGGCTCAAAATGAAGGGAAGTAAGTCGGATGTGGTGCACGGTGCGCATCAGCTCATTATAATACTCTTTCCACTCCAAGCTGAAGATCGGGGTTCGACTCCCGGCATCCGAATAAGATGAGTAGATTTTTTTTTTTGGCTTGTCTCCTGAGCTTGCGAAAATGCTGCCACTTGCCCAGGTTTCAATGAAAGAAAATATCTCAGATGTGGTGTAGAGTGCACACCAGCTCTTTGTGGGTCGGTGGTTAAAAAGCTTAGAGCTCAAAGCCGGGGTTCGACTCCCCGCATCTGAATAACAGGGGCTAGATGTCTTTTACCATTTTTGGCGCTCATGTCCACAATTCACCCAGGATGAGGTGTCTGGTCATCTTGATTCATTTACCATGCCGAAAACGGGGTTCGACTCCCTGCACCCGAATAAGTGGTTGGCTACATTTTTTTCTTTTTGGTGCTAAAGATTTTCCCCCTTACCCAACTGTAGCGTACATTTGGATGTTGTGTACGTACCTGCTTATTCCTTTTGGGGACCACCACAGTAGTACATCCTCCCCCTCCCTCCCCCTCCAACTCCAAATGATACGGCATAATTCGGATGTGGTGCACGGTGCACGTCAGCTCCCAGTATATGTTTGGTAATGAATCCAGATGGTTTCAAGCTGAATGCCGGGGTTCGACTCCCTGCGTCCGAACTATCTGGCAACCTTATTTTTTTGCCACTCACGTTGAAATGCTGCATTTACCCAGGTATGAAATAACTCGGATGTGGTGCACAGTGCACATCAGCTTCTCATTATCTGATTCAATGATACTGCAGGCTGAACCGCTGAATACCGGGGTTCGACTCCCCGCATCCAAATGGTTCATTGAATCTGTAGAAGATCCTTGTTTTCTTCTCCCCTAAGTCCATGCAGAAATATCTCCACTTACCCAGCTTAAAATCAAGGGAAGCAACTCGGATGTGGTGCGTGGTGTACGTCCTAAGTAATTCGCTGTGTTGCAGGCTGAATCTCGGGGTTCGACTCCCCCAGTCCGACTGAGTGCTACCCGTAAGCTTTTTTGCTTTTCGTTGAAAACTCTGAAATATCTTCTATCTACTGCTCGCCGAGCCCGAAAACAAATGTGGTACCCAAAAACTTTCCGTCCGTGCCGGTTGCACTTAGAACGTTCGGAATATTCATTTGATAAATAGAGTCACAAAAAATGTACCCTAAGCAAAACTAGGGCTAGTGGCACTCCTTGCAGCTGCTAGACCGCGCTTGGACCGTTGTTGATGAAAGTTATAGATAGATGATCAAAGACGCGCGGAAATAGATGTGGTTAAGAAGAATATTAATAGGTGAGTTTGAAGGAAGAAATGAGGACGCACTTCGATTACACTTTTAAAGCGCTTTCGAATTTGCCGGAGGTGCCATGAGCGGGACGCCAAAATCGCGCCAAGTTGTCCGGAATCGCACGAGATTTTGAATCCAGTGCGAACTTTGAGGTGCCCCCGAAGCGGTAACAAATCACGAAAATAGCGCCAAGTCCGCAGGAAAGCGCACAAGACCGGTGGCCTAGAATTCTGAATTCCAGATCCAACGCAGATTTCCAAGGCGGGAAAGCGGGGCAATTCAAGTCAGAGCTTGTACACTTGCGAAGCGGGAAGAAACATCGGAAATAAAATACGCGAAGTTAGTAGAATGATGGGTCCGATTGCCGGGAAGCCGCGAGTGGGATAATGGATTGATTTAAATTCCTGTAGTTGGAAATCCTCAGTTTTCACGCTGCCTTTTGTGGCCGGAGGTCGCCGGAAGGGCAACAAATAGGCTGCGAGGCGGGCAAAAAAGAAAGAAAAAGCGCGCAAAGTCGGTGACGAGAAGTCCCTAGCATGATTTGAAAGTTCGATTCGAGGCAGGAAGGTGAAAAATGAAGTTTGAGTCTTTTGAAGCGGGTCTTCGCAGAGCTTCAGGAAAAACCGAGTTTGTGATGTGCTTGGAGGAAGTCGCGGCAAGGCGAGGGCTTGAATTGATATTTGTAGGCGTGCAAGTTGCGGGTTTGAGCCGACATTGATGCGGGAACTGGAGAAAGCGGGTGCGTCGATCTCGGGAGAGCGATATCTTTATTTAGAAATGCGTGGGCTGAGAAGCCGCAATAGGTTGTGTGCTTTGGGGAGATCAAGTTAACAGAACAGGAAATGCTTCGTAGGTGGTGGAAAGCCCGTAGCTTGATCTGGCATTTCGTGGCGCTAGAGACGCGGTATTGTTTGCGGGGTGTCCAAATATCGAAAGCGGGAGGGACGGTGTGTGTGCGAAGGGCGGGGAAAGGAGCGCGAGAAGGAGTTGGGTGTGGAGGGCGAGCGCGGGCAGAGCGGATTTGGGTGCGGCGTCCCCCGATCAACAAGCTCGCCTAAGGAGGAGGAGATGGTCGAGATGGAGTGCGAGGTGTCGGCCACGGCGAACAGCGCCGTCGCGTCGTCGTCCGTGTCCACGCGTGCGCCGCCTCGGCCCGCGAATGCCGCGCGGTAGTGCCGCGGCAGCACGGGGTCCCGGCGGGAACGAGCGAACGGGAGGAGGCGTCGGCCGAAGGCACTCTTCTTGGCGCGGCCGCGGCCACGCAGAGGCGGGATCGACGGGACGGCGGAGGTGCGGGCGGCGGGGTCGGCGGTTGGCAGGAGGGCGATGCCGGCGTGGCGGTCAAATCTTTATTAGCTGAACTTAAGTTCTCGCCGGTCCACACCGGTTTTCGAACTTAAGATCTCCTATAACTTAAGTTCTGACAAACAATACTACCTACATACAATAACTCATGGGCATTCCCTGCGCGTCCGGAAGACTTGGTCATGATCAAAGGCGATGAGAACACCACATTGAAGGGGTACGACTTCGGTAATCGTGGTATGACGCACAAGGTTCGTACTGAGACTGGTGTGGGCTTTGTGACACTAACCATGCACTGTCCAGCTTTGTCCTACCTGCGGGACCTCTATACTGGCGCGTGTACACGCCCAGAACTCTCTCGGCGTCAACATATGTGTCATGGCTGCGCCACTACAAGGCTCATGACCTCTTAATAGGTCCGGGCGCTGACGGACGCCGATACTTTTGCGCTGGACGAGAGTCCGTTCGATGGCGCTGCCTTGAAGCCAGCCTACGAAGCTCAGAAGCCAGTGGACATTGACCCTCTGGACAAGACCATGCAGGTGCACGCCGGAAACTGCCACTGCGGGGCCGTGAAGTATGCGCTTCAGACGGATTCTCCGGTTACATCCGCTCTGGAGTGCAACTGCAGCATTTGCTATGGGTATGTTGTTTAATTTGTCACAAACCCTGCTAATAAAAGGATAGGACGCAGCGCTCTGGATATTCCCGTTGAAGACGTTGGTCACTGCTCAAGACACCACCAATGCGCTGGTTGGGTACACATTCAGGCCGAAAAAATTGGCACATGAATTCTGCGAGATTTGCGGTGTCTCGCTCTTCGGGCGGTCCAAGGGCCCTACCCTAGGAATCAATGTACGCACGATCAACGGCATCGCTCTAGCAGAGTTGCAACTCAAAAAGTATGATGGCAAAGCGACTTTGCCGTTGTACGAGGTTCAATAAGCTCTCTTTGCATATTGATCTGAATTTACGAAGCATTTTGTGGCCGACTAGTACTTTCGAAATTGCACCAATTATGCCACCCTCAATTATTTGCTTTTTTTTCGTATGAGTCCGGTTGTGCGGTTGAATCATGAGGAATTTAGTGCTTTCCTGAAGAAGCTCTTACTGACAGCGTGGAGTGAAGAAAATTAGCCATAAACAGAGGTCACAAATTTACCGTGAATCGTCTGTCCGATTGAACCCAACCGAGTCGCGGTCACGGGATCGCGACGAGGAAAATAATTTGATGCAAATTTGATGGACCCTGATGGCTTGACACATCAAGGTTTCTTGACCCCCTCTTGACCTTCTTGACGTGAGCTGGACAACACTGGTGCATTCAAGAGGACGCTTTCTCATGCTGATTTGATTGTCGAGTTTCCGCGACCTCACGGCTCAAATATCAACGTAGAATTTATTGGATGGACTCATATGAGAAAATACAAAGTGAGAACAGTCTGAGATTCTGAGTAGCCAAGGGAGCAGGATTCTCGCCCACGGCATTGATGAAAGGCAAGAAGAGGAGGCTAATCACGAATCCAGCGATAAATAGCGCCATCCGAGTTGACGCCCCAAACCACACCATCCGCACCCACACCAATATCGGTCAGGCCACCAGCGACCTGAGCCCAGGGCTTACTATCATCACCCGTATACCTGTAGATGTTGCCTGCGCTGTTCACCCCCCACACATTAGTTTTTATCCCCGCAGAGATGGCACTGAGTTTGCCAGAAATGTGGACCCAGGGACTGGGATCTCCTTCGTGCCCGGTGTAGCGATAGATGTCGCCCGCGGAGTTGACCCCCCAAACCGTGTCATCGGCACCCGCGCCAATGTCAGTTAGGGAACCAGGGATTCGAACCCAGGGCTTGCTGTCATTACTGGTGTAACGATAGATGTTGCCACCAGCATTGACTCCCCAGACATTGGTGCGCGATCCAACAGAGATTCGCTTGAGTGCACCGGGAATGTTGATCCAGTGATTGGAATTCCCGGCATAGCGAAAGATGTCGTTGTTGGCGTTGACCCCACACCGTGCCATCAGCAGCCGCGCCAATGTCGGTTAGAGCGCCAGGGATTCGAACCCAGGGCCTGCTGTCATCGCCAGTGTAACGATAGATGTTACCGCCTGCGTTGACTCCCCAGGCCTTGGTGGCCGATCCAGCAGAGATTCGTGTGAGAGCCCCAGCGATATGTTTCCAAGGCGTTGCATATATGGTTAGACCATATTGGTTCTGTCTTTGAACCTCTACACATTGCAGCAGCTGGTCATGATGGCTTTGATAGAGTTTCAGATATCCACTCAATTTGCCATGGGCATGAATATAACTGCCTGCTTGGGAGACAGCCAAAGCAAAGCAATGGAGTTCCTGTTTTATGCTTCAGTTTGAGTTGCATCAAGAAAAACCTGAAAGAAAAGACCTTCACAATAGCTAATGCCAGTTCCTCTTGTACATCACTGCTGAGTTTCTCTTGCTTATCACTCCTGCCTTGGTAAACCAACTGCAAGAGCAGGTCCTTTGCATCTTCAGGTTCCATATCCGACACCCTTGAGCCTGCACTGGCATGAATGCAAAGTTGTTGGTTGCGAGTTATGATCAAAATGTTGCTAAAGGTGCAGTGAGGGAAGAACTTTGAAATATCCAATTTGACATCATCAGCGTTGTCAAACAAGAGAAGCCACTCTTCTTGTTTGCCTGCAAGCCAGTGCAGACTCGCTTCGGCTGATCCACCACCCACTGCAGGGCCAACAATCTTCAGATCAGTTTCAATTGTCTGTTCACTTGTGGCATCAATGTAGAATATCTCAGAGAAGCTAGAAATCGGGTGTGACACATTTGCAAAATTTATGAAATTTATTCATACCGATGGTGGGCTTGGGAGTCTTGTAAAAACTTGAAAGCAAGCTGACTTTTTCCAGAACCCCCGAGGCCATGCAAGACAAAGATGTGCCGAGATCCTTGATCACAGTCAAAGTGTTGGTGCATCTTCTGAAGAATTTCCTTTCGCCCTGTGAATGAAGACACTGGCTGGGGACAAATGCGAAGATCTGGTGTGTATTATCAGGAACAGCTTTTGACAATATATTGCAGTGATTTACCACCGGAGAACATGAAATTGCAATTTGTGAACTGAGGGCCCTCGCCATTGCCACCATCACCCCCAATGCCACCCCCAATGCCACCCGGCCCTCCGGTACCCCCTACAGAACAGTTAGACAAGATTGACAACTGATGTGATTCACACCGTGGATTGTTGTCTGATGCCCTGAATCACTAGCCATTCTAAATCTTATGTATGAATAACAGCACTAAAGGTCACATAGGAAACAGAACTGACCAAAGAGGATACTGTACCAATCCTAATGACTGAAACAGGCCTTGAACCGTTACTGAAACAATTTGGTAGCAACGTGAAACACCCACGCCGTTATGCGTTACATACCTAAAATGTTGAAACGGCCACACTAAAGCCATCACTTATTGTGGGTGAGGCTGACTAAGTTTTGAATTAGAGGGGTTTGAGGACGTACATGGGGTCCAGATTTACTCCTACACAATGTCCTTGCATAAATATATTAAATTCTGCTGCTGGGGGAAAAAAAAAGTAACGGTTTTTGAAAGAAACGACCTCTCTGTTATGCGTTACATTTGAAACGAAACGGTGCCCCCGTTACGCGTTACGTTTCAGTCATTAGGATTGGTACAGTATACTGCTGCAGTAGACTTGGGAGTTTCACAGGAACACAGGCGTGGTTAAGAGGAAGTGTTGGAGAAACATGCATGGGGCACGTTGTGCTTTAAATTGGACACAAGGCTGTGAGGGCAGATCCGGGGAAGTGGCTGGCCGCATTGTTCGCGCGCAGTACTACTTACGTGAAGGTCGAACTTAGATTGATGTGGTGCCTCGGCGACGGCAGCCAGCTGACAGCGAGCCTTTACAGTTACTCCCGAATGAACTGCAGTAGTCCTGTTCGAAATGCAGATCAGTCGGATTTTCAGCACCGTCGCTGAGCCAGAGGATAAATACGGTGCTCGGAGTGGTGTTGCGTGGTCGCCGCATTGTTCGGGTGCAGTACTTGCGCGTGGGAGCGGTGCTTCTGCAGTGGCAGCGAGATGACAGTGAGCTTGATTTCGCACTGATACTATCATTCCCTTTGGGTCTGAATCCACCCTATGTACCTGAATTTCGATTTTCGATTTTTCCCCTGTAGGCTTTTGGCCCCGGTATCGTCCGGGTTTTATTAATACACAAGAATCTATATCACGTTTGTTTAAACAATTTGCATCTAGACGCAAATTGCCGTTTAAACAGGTGTTTAATCTAAACATGTTTAACGGCACGGGCCGGTGATCAGGGCCGTTGAAAGGGCGGTTTAAACAGTGTTTAAACGCGTCAAAAAAAGTCATTTTATACCGGGGTTCAAACTCATGCCCCCAGTTGCATGAGTACATAAGCAGGGAGACAAAGCAGCAACATTCTGACTGGGCCAACTTGGAGTGATGATTCAGGGATGTAATGCTCCTTTATCATGGGCCTGTGGCCCAGTACACAAGTCCAACTTGCTGAGTTGAACTGGACTCTCAAGGTGCGGTTAAACAGGTTTACAAGCCATAGTTTAAACACTGCTTTGAAGGAAAGAGGAAGAGTAAGGTTAAGATATATTTCCAATGAAGGGAGTAGTTGGATTTTGTTTCTTGTCATGTTAGATGATGAATACTTTGCCTTCTTCGAGGTTTTCTGATCACCATTTCGAATATGCATCCCGGGAATGCGTGGTTTCGACATTCACTTCTTTTTGGTGCTAACAGACTGTTACTTACCCAGGCTCAAAATGAAGGGAAGTAAGTCGGATGTGGTGCACGGTGCGCATCAGCTCATTATAATACTCTTCCACTCCAAGCTGAAGACCGGGTTCGACTCCCGGCATCTGAATAAGATGACAAGTAGATTTTTTTTTGGCTTCCCTCCTGAGTTTGCGAAAATGCTGCTACTTGCCCAGGTTTCAATGAAAGAAAATATCTCAGATGTGGTGTAGGGTGCACACCAGCTCTTTGTGGGTCAGCGGTTAAAAAGCTTAGAGCTCAAAGCCGGGGTTCGACTCCCCGCATCTGAATAACAGGGGCTAGATGTCTTTTACCATTTTTGGGGCTCATGTCCACAATTCACCCAGGTTAAGGTGTCTGGTCACCTTGATTCATTTACCAAGCTGAAAACGGGGTTCGACTCCCTGCACCCGAATAAGTGGTTGGCTACATTTTTTCTTTTTGGTGCTAAAGATTTTCCCCCTTATCCAACTGTAGTGTACATTTGGATGTTGTGTACGTAGGTACAGTACCTGCTTATTCCTTTTGGGGACCACCACAGTAGTACATCCTCCTCCTCCCTCCCCCTCCAACTCCAAATGATACGGCATAATTCGGATGTGGTGCACGGTGCACGACAGCTCCCAGTATATGTTTGGTAATGAATCCAGATGGTTTCAAGCTGAATGCCGGGGTTCGACTCCCTGCGTCCGAATTATCTGGAAACCCTATTTTTTTGCCACACTCATGTTGAAATGTCGCATTTATCCAGCTTCACAAGGTATGAAATAACCCGAATGTGGTGCACAGTGCACATCAGCTTCTCATTATCTGATCCAATGATACTGCAGGCTGAAGCGCTGAATACCGGGGTTCGACTCCCCGCATCCAAATGGTTCATCGAGTCTGTAGAAGATCCTTTTTTTCTTCTCTCCTGAGTCCATGCAGAAATATCTCCACTTACCCAGCTTAAAATGAAGGGAAGTAACTCGGGTGTGGTGCGCGGTGTACGTCCTAAGTAATTCGCTGTGTTGCAGGCTGAATCTCGGGGTTCGACTCCCCCAATCCGAATGAGTGTTACCCGTAAGCTTTTTTTGCTTTTTGTTGAAAACTCTGAAATATCTTCTATCTACTGCTCGCCAAGCCCGAAAACAAATGCTCGAAGGTGGTACCCAAAACTCTCCGTCCGTGCCGGTTGCACGTACAAAGTTCGGATGTATTCATTTTATAAATAAAGTAACAAGAACGTACCCTAAGCAAAGCTAGGGCTAGTGGCGCTCTTTGCAGCTGCTAGACCGCGCTTGGACCGTTGTTGATGAAAGTGATAGATAGATGACTAAATAGATGACCAAAGACGCGTGGAAGTAGATGTGGTCAAGAAGAATATTAATAGGTGAGTTTGAAGGAGGAAATGAGGACGAACCTTGATCAAAGCGCTCTGGAATTTGCGGCCAAATTGTCGAGATTTCGAATCCAGCGCGAACTTGGAGTTAGGAGAAGAGCGGCAAAGCGGGAAAAAAAAGTGGTGAAAACAACGCACCGAGTCCGCAATGCACCAGATCCCCGGAACCCTCCCGTGAACCAGGAGGGCCTTCGGTGCTACTCTGGTAATTGTTTGATGGTTATGGGGGAAAGATGATGGACCTTCACGTCTTCACTATTCCCCGTCGTACTGCTGTTGTCGGAGTCATTGTCACTGGCAGGGACCAGGTCAGGCAAACTGCCAGAGCTATCAGAGTTGGTGTCGGGGGCAAGCTGTGCCTCATTGGCCTGAGCAACAGCAGTGACTTTGGGAATGTCAGTCAACCCGGTGTTGAGTTCACCAGGAGAAGTGGGGGTTTCTTTAGTCAAGTCGGACATTTAGCGCTTTCGGTGAGGTTCGTCATTTTTAAAGAGAATATCTGGGGGGTTGATTCTCTTGTCGGTGGAGCGATTTTCGCCGCGCCTTCGGTATCGACATTGGCTGTAAAAGCACAGCAACACCACAAGCATGTCGTGAGCATGGGAGGCACAGAATGATGCATAAAGCACACAATTTTCCGAGCATACCAAGGCTGTGAGTCGGTGGGTAATATGGCACAACAGCGCTTTTTTTCAAGGGCTAGATCTGTGGGGGGGGGATACATGTATCATGCTAAGGCTGACTCTCATGCCCTGGTACATGGGTGGCTGCATTAAATGTTTAAACCTTCAAATAAAATAAGTTTAGAGAAGCAATTTGCCTTAGCATATGCAGGGCTCAGGATGAACCAAATCACAGGTGGTTTTCTCCTCCCAACTGGGCAAACCTTCAGCCGCAAGCTAGGGCAAGGTGGCACAGAGTCAGCTCTTTCCCAAATCCTGTTGGATTTTCTTCTTTGGCCTAGCAGTACTATTACATACACTTGGGGACAAAAGATCATGATGAAATGAAAATGTTTTCCTTGCCTAATGGGTGATAATCTCCGCATTGAGTCACTGTCGTTCGTGGGCTATCACCTCAGGAAGGCGTAGGACCATACAGCTGCCAACCCTTTGGTGGGTTCAAATATTTGAGGCTGCATCAGCGACAACTTGCAGGGGATGGTAGTTATGTTGCCTTCACAATTCAGACCACACTTAATCACCATTGATGTGGTTAAAATAAATAAATAGGGAGGCTACATACTGGACAAAAGGCTATAATCTGGACATAGCATGCTGTGCACACCAAAAACAGGTAGGTATGTATTTGTCCAAATATGAGTGGAGCTGTGGAAAGTTGAAGAGAAAGAACAAGAAGATTGAAACACAAACCCCAACTATCCAATATCCAGAATACAATTCAAACCAACACTCCATGCCTCCCCTTGTCCCAAATGTCACTTCCTTGAGTCAATTTGTCCTCCTCCTCCTCCTCCTCCTCCTCCTCCTCCTTGGTGATGTATGCCTCCTTCAGTGCACTAACAGGTACATGCAATTCTGAAAGGTGTTGAAGTTGTTCCTCATACTTGGCCAGAATGGCAGAGCCAACCTCTGCTATCTTTGTATCAATCTTGATTACATCCTTCATCTGAGAGGACCTTTCAAACAAGGGCCTGGCTGTCTTCCACAATTCAATTGCTTTAATGACCTCTCCACAATTATTCAGTATATCACTAATTCGAACCATGCAATCTGCCCGCCAGCGATGGACATCCATGAATGTGAATCCATCAAGAGCAACATTGAATAGGCTGAGTGCTGTTTCATCATCGCCTTCAGCAGAAAAAATCTGGCCAAGGCATCGGAGTGCTTGCATTGTCTGGAGCTTGTTTTTGAACTTCAATGCCAGTGCAATGAGGATCCCAGTCCATTGCAGTGTAGTTTGGGTGTCATTCATCCCAGTGGAAAGATCTCCAAGCCTTTCAGCACATAAGAGCGACAGGTCCAGCTGGATATCCAGAGAGGATACAAAACATTTTTCAAACATGGTATTTGCAAGACCAATAGCCCCATCTCGAAGACAGAGATCAGCAGCTATATAATCACTGAAAGTGGATAGCTGTTTGCTAAAATACCCATACAATGCCTTCAAATGAGACTGAGTGATGTCTAAATTTTGGTGAACAATTTTTAAGTCAGCACCAGTAGTAATATCAATGAAAGCAATGTTCAAGTTTGCCAGGATGGCATAGTATGAAGTTGCCTGGCAGCTGGATGCAATGGCTACTTGCAGCTTGAGTGATTCCAAATACTCAGATTTCATAAGGTGTATCTCAGCCTGCTGATTTAGGATGGAACAATTCAATCCACTTTGTTGGTGACCAAGAGTAGCCAGGATGTGTCTGGATTTTTGCAGAAGATGTTGAGCATGCTGATAGTTTGCCAAACATATGTGACTTCTTCCTTGATAGGAGAGAGACCAAGCTTGTCCATGGATGTTCCCTATGTGCTCAGCATATCTATATGCCTCCTTGGCATGTGTGATTGCACTCAAGGGCTTTCCAGTGAAAAGATGAATGTCACATATGCTGGCCAAAGCAGAGTAGCCAACAGTGGTAGGGTATCCAGTACTTTCTGCCAGAGAATATGCTGTTTGATAATACTGCAGGCTTCCTGCTAAATCTGACTTTGCAAACCGAAAATACATTCCCAGTGCATGGTACCATTTGCCTGGTGATAAATTAGTTAGGTGAACACATGGACCATGATTGTGTCTTACTCTGTTCCAGTGGATCTTTTGATGTGAAATGCTGAGTGCCTAGGATGATGTCGTGATTGAAATCTGGGTCAGGCAAATAGTCCGAAGTTTCCAATAACTCGATGAGATATTCCCCAAAGATTTGATTGTCTTTCCAATGCAGCATTTGCCCAGAAAGCTGCAGCAAAAGGGGTGAATATGTGCTGTGGACCTGATCATAAAATTGATTGAGAAAAAGGATGCTCCTCAAATTCTGGACAATATCAGGCCCCTCTGGCTGAAGCCCATCATGGAGGACAGTGTTGAAGTTGCCCAAATTTCCTGAAATTTGAGGGAGTATATCTGTTAGGTTGAGATTCTTGAATTGGTGCCAAAGATCAAGAATTTGATGGAAGTGTTCCCGTAGCTTCAGCTTCAATATATTTTGGGGAGGATGAATGCTAAGGATATGTTCTCGGATGGGAACCAGAACTTTGAGATGTTGATCCTGGCCAACAAAGGCAAGGGCTGTTTGAATCAGAGTAGCCTTGCAAGACAGAATATCAGGGATTGGTAGTTTGGCCTGCACCAAATTGGCATCTGAAAGCCCATCTGGTAGCATGGAAAGAATGCTGAGCAACTCCTGAGCACCTGGGGTCATTCGGGAGCTGGTGTATGCCAACATGATGGATATATCCAAGCTCAATCTCTGGTCATACCCATCTGAAAGCATCCGAGTACTTTCCAATTTCCACCGAGAAAGTGCCTTGGCACATCCTTCAGAACTTGCAACACTTGCAATGAGGCTGACTGCCAGGGGAAGATTCCCAGTCAGTTCAAGGAGATTTTTGATGCTGGCATCATCATGGCCATCATCAGCAACTTCAATGAAGGTCTGCCAAGCAGCCACATTGGAAAGTGGCTCAAGAGGGGCCAAAAAAGGTCTGGTCCATTTGACTTTGCTTGGGTGCTCAGCACCTCTGAGGGTGATCTACAAGAAGTTCAAGGTATAGTTTGATAAACTGGTAAACATTACTAACCATCAGGCCCAAGTGGAGGGCATCAGTCAGAAGAGATAGAAACTCTTCAACTTCAGAGCGAGCTGAAAGGGCTTCCCATGGGGTTTCCAGATTATCTAAGACCAGAAGAGAAGGGGGAGCATGGGCAAAATAATGTGCAATTCTTTTTGGC